GAGTTAGAGGCTGCGAATCAGCCTCGGATCCATCCTCCGGTCCTTCTCCTAATGTTGGCGGAAGTGGATGACCTGTCTGTATTAACATCTCTAAAACATTCGTATAAGCTCTTGTAAGTACCTTGCCAAGCATTATTATAAATGATTAACGTGAGAACTCGTTCGAGCACGTTGTATCTAAGGACCTCGGCGTCTCGTGTGTGTGTGTGTGTGTCCTGTACATGGCCAGTCCGCAGCAGCTCAATCGCCACCTAGAAAGTATAAACCCTGTAATTAACGCCGTTCTCCTGTTGTAGGCAGTTAGCTATCTCGTAATCCCATTTACCACGCCGCACGGGAGTGTTTCGCTTGAGTTCGTGAGAATGTTAATAATACGTAGAGCATTTGCCATGACCCCCTGATTCAAACTATATGAAGCACTGTCATGCATAGTGAGACGGCGTTCGGAGGATGCAGTGCATGTCACCCAAGACCATCTAGATGCTGGCACCAGATAAGCATTATTACGTTCTCGTCGAATAATTGCGGATGCTCCGCTCGTATTCGTTGTGTGCCGTCTCCCGCGATGAGTGGGTGTAAACTTCCGTTGTATTGTATTACAACTTCTGGGGGGATTAGACAGCGATGTCCATCTGTAGACAAGCCCCAGTTCAGAACAGTAACTTGAATATATAACTTGATGGACTCGTCTGATAGCCACTTTCCAGTCTGAGATAGGAAACTTCATCAATGCATCACTTAGACGGTATTGCCTCCTCTTCGTCTTTCACGGGAGCTGCAAAGTTTACAGGCACCAACAATAGCTAGACGTGTCCTTGGCTGTCTGTAAGACGCTCGATGTCCGTGAAAATAGCAACCGGGGTCGGGTTGCGCCGCTTCATGGGCCTCCATGAATGCTCAAAAAGTTCGTCGTCTACCTTCCTCATTTTATTGTCTTTTTTCTTGGTTCTTGGTGGGTGTGGCGACTTTGCTGCGCGTACGAACAGGGGCGGAGGATAACTTTGGCTCATCATACGAATCTTTTGACCACGCTACCAGTTCATTAGTTAAACAGTAGTCTTCACGAAGACCAACAACATACAGCTTCCAAATGAGTCATCCGATGACATGGGGTCTTCCAGTGACTTTATATCCATGTCATCATCGGGGGTGTACGATTCTTGCGCTGGTTGCGACTGCGGCGCTTCAATAACAGCTGCCAAAGAGGGCTTCAGTTGTTGCTCTATCTGCAGTGATAGTCAGGGTAGTTGCACCTGCGAGCTCATAGGGGAGACTTGTCCTTCCACAACAGCTGCCGAAGGGGGCCTAAGTCGCTTGCTCTTTGTTAACCGTCGTGTGGTTTTCACCTATAAACGCCGGGGGGGGGG